TATTTTTATTTCCGCTCTATTATTTAAATGGTCACACATCCTGGAGATGCGGTTATAAAGCCTCTCAGTTGGCCCGTGCAGAGGACAGCAGGCCATCATAGAGGAAGCTGCCTGCAGCCAGTCACAGAGCGAGGACCCAGTCTCTGGAGACTGTAGCCAGGTTTATCTTGAAGGCTACATATAGTTCCTGTCTGATTATGGTGTCTAAAAGAAAATAACTTCGCTAGGGACAATTTTATATGAGGCAATTTTGTTAGCGTGTATTGACTGGCTTCACAGCAAGTCTAAGACAGCATGTTGATCCTGAACCTGTTGTTCTCATATAAATTTTCATTCTGTGGGTATCTTTAAGTAAATAATTGCTTTTTCTTGTACTTGAAAATTTTTTTAGATCACTACATGTGAATGATTGGGTCAGCTGTAGACCTGTGTTTCTAATATATTTACAAAATAGAAATACAGTATCTTTAGATTGAAACAGTTGTGCTTCCACAGGTTTTTCTTTACTTTTGTAATTATTTCCTTTGGTGAAAAGAAACCTTTGAATTTGATATACTCGTTTATTGATTCTTCGTATTTCTTGTGCCTTTGGTACTGTGTTCAGAAAGTACTTGTCTATGCCTATGTCTATGCAAGTTTTACCTATTTTATCTTCAAGCTATTGTTTCTTAATATTGGATCTTGTCTTTGAGATTTTTATTTTAAATATTTTGACATTTTATTTTGATATTTTACTTCAGTCTTCTGCATGTGTATAGCCACTATCCCCAACATCATTTATGAAAGAAACTGTCTTTCTTCCAGCATGTTTTTTTTCTGTTTATCAAAACAGGATGGCCAAGTGTGCCTAGGATTTTTTCTGCATCATCTGTACCACTGACCCATTTACCTGTTTTTGTGCCAGTACCATGCTGTTTTTATCACTGTAACTTTGTAGCACAAGTTGAAATCCAAGACTGTGATGCCTCTTGCTCTGCTCTTATTGTTCATGACTACTTTTTCTATTCTGGATGTCTTCTGGTTCTATATAAATTTTAGAATTTTTTTCTGCTTTTGTGTGGAATGTTGTGGCATTTTCCTTGGGATTGTGTTCATTCCTTATATCATTTTGGTAGTGTGGCCGTTTTGACAATATTGGTTTTGCCTGGTCAGAAACAATCAATGTGTCTATACTTTCTAATGTCCTCTTTGGTTTTGTTTTTTTAGAATACTGTAGTTTTCATGCTTGAGTTCTTTCAATTTCTTGGTTAGATTAGTTCCTAAGTTTTTGGTTTTTCATAAGGCTATTTCAAATGACACTGTTTTCCTAACTTCTCAGTGAGTTCATTATTGGTATACAGAAAGCTTATTGGTTTTGTGTTTTCATTTGTTATTCTCCTACATTGCTGAATTTGATAATTAGTCATGGGAGTCTTCTAGGGCAATTGCTTGGATTTCCCATGTGAAGGACCATGTCTTGTGTGAATAATGGTAACTTGTTTTCTTGCTCGCCTATGTGTCCCTTTTGTTTTTCTTGCTTGACCCCTCAGACTAAAGTTTCAAGTAATATGCTGCAAGAGTAGTGATAGTAAGCATCCTTTTGGCTGATTTTACAGGAATGACTTTCAGTTTTTCCCTCACTTAGTAAGTTTATTGACAGGAGGTTTGTAGATTTTTTTAATCACAATGTGATAAAGTCCTTCTGAACCTATTGTCTCCCAGGTTTGTATCATGAGTAGATGTTGGATTTTGACATTCTTTTTACATGTCTACTGAGATGACTAATTTTTGTACCTGCTTCTGCATATGTGATGGATTTTTTTTTTTTTTTTTGAGACGGTCTTTGTATGCAGTTCAGGTTGGCCCTGAGCTCACTTTGTAGCCCAGGGTGGTCTTAAAACTCACAATGATCCTCCTGCTTCAGCCTCCCAAGTGCTGACATTATAGGCATGGGCCGCCACATCTACCTTTCATTTATGTTGAACCAACCTTATATTCCTGAAATGAAGCCTACTTGGTCATGATGCATGATTATTTTTTACTGATTTGTTACTCTTTGCCAGTATCTTGTTGAGAATTTTTGCATCTATGTTCTTTAACATACTGACAATAGGGCCATAATTGATATATCTCACTGCCATCGTTTTGTAAGCACCAGTGGAATACGTATGTGTGTCCAGTGCGTGACTGCACAAATTACACCACCAGTGGTACAAGCTGCCCCATAGAACAGTCACACATGTAATAGTGGAGGGTCAAGCCTGAAGACATGTGTTGAAGAGATTGGCCTGTGGTTGTCTTTCTAAATTGTTTGGTATGGTAGTTGGTAATTAAAGTAATGCTTCCATTTAGGAAACAATTTGGAAATAATCTTTCCCTTTTAATTTCATTCAAGAGTTTGAGGCATTTTAGCACTAGATTGTCCCTGAAGTTCTATATAATTTAGTGATGAATCTACTGAGCCCTGGGCTTTTCTTAGTTTGTAGCTTTTTTTATTAATTCCTTGATTTTGTTGCCTCTTATCAGACTGTTCTGAGCTTTCACCTTCTTGAGTCAGGTTTTAGCTTTTTTTTTTTTTAGATAGGGATTCGTTGTGTATTTCAGGCCGATTTTGAACTCCCTTTGTAGTCCTGGCTGGCCTTGAACTCACAGGATCCTCCTGCCTCTCATATGCTGGGATTACAGGCATGCACCACCACACGCCTCCAGTGACATACAGATATCTGCAACAAAAAGCTACCAACATGTATAATAATTGTGCAGGTATGCATGGGACCCTACTTCAGAGGTAACTGATTATAAACACTCAATTAAAATTTCATCTTAATGGAAGAAAACCAAACAGCAGGCAACTGAACACTGCTAGAAGTGGAAAGAGTAAACCGTAACCCTTTCTTTCCAAGAAGAGTCCTTGCATATTTCTCCTTAGTCCCTAGGTAGTCGCTGAAAGTCAGTGCCAGGGAGATCTGGGAAAATGTGTGCTTCTCTTCTCGGAAGACTTGGGAGACAGGTCAGGGAGGAGCTTCCAGAGTACAGCCAGAAAGGACAAAGCCCTTCTCAATGAGAACTCAGTACCTGTATTACATGGAAATAATAGTATTTTCTCATGCTGTAAATCTTAATCATTTTATTATTGTTTTTATAGGCAACAGCAATAAAGATTATCCCTTGAAAGGGAACTATGAAACTAAAATGCGGGTGTTCTTTAGATATAAGGCCCACAGAGTACTTTCTCTAGATTTTATGGATGCCCAATATTTACCTGAATGCCAGCCTTACAACTTTCTGTACCTCTTACCATCAAACTGAATGACCATCTGAGACTTGTGTTATTTGTATTCTCTAAACTGGAAGACAAAGCCAGGTCTATGGAGACAGTGGTCAGTATACATTCTAGAACTCTGGTTCACCTGTAGCTTTGAAAATGACAGCCTTACCTTTTAACATTAGTACAAGCGTTTCATTTGATAAAGTAATAAAGACAAAAAAGTATTCATCAGTGGCATTACCAAAAAAAAAAAAAAAAACCAAAACAAAACTACAAATGGCCTATTATGCTTCAAATAAAATATCTTTATGTGCTTGCTACAGTTTTAGTTGAAAATGAAATTTAATTATGAAGGTATGAGAAAAATCACAGGTGGTGGAAGCAGCAGAGGTGGCCAGGTGCTTATGCAGCATTGCTTGAGTTACACCATGGCAAAGGTAAATCATGCCCAAAGACTTACCAATTATAATGTCTCTTCAAGGAAATTTTGCTTTCTTTAAATAGAAGATGAGTTATATTCGTGCACATATGATAAATGTGTAACTATGGAATACTTCACTATGGAATACAACCACATTTATTGGACACCTAGTAAGTGTAATATTAGCATGAAAGATCATAAATCTTGATCATGGCAGTACCAATTAGTTACCTTATATTTAAACTGCTAAGGAAGAAAACAATGAGAAGTAGTTTAAAAAGTAATGTATTTTAAAAAAAAAAAGTAATGTATTTTATTTCCCAGCCTGATGTTTCATTCTGTGTTTTATATCAGGAGCACAAAAAGTATGTTGAATGTCTTGTTCCGCAGCTTATGCCAATCTGAATAGCATTTTGTCTTGATCAAACTTTTATATATTTTATAAAGCTCTTTCAAATACACAAGCTCTTTAAACTTCTAAATTTTACTTTTGTAAATGAAAAAAGCTGAGCTTAAGTAGTCTAAGTTATATATGAAGTAGGGCTTTTCCTGATACTATACTACTTCATGCCCACTAAATAGCTAAAATTTAGGACTGACCAGATCAAGTATTTGTAAGAATATTAAAAAATTAGAACTCACATGTATTGCTGATGGAAGCAGAAGACAGCACACTGACAAAGATTTCTGCAGTTTCTTACAGGGTTAAATACACACCTACCTTCTGATCTGGCAGTGGCAGTCCTATGGAACTGCACTGGTCAGTTTCCTACTATTGAGACAAGTTACCCAATAATCACAACTTAAAGGAGAGACTTATTTACTTTATGGTTTCTGAGCTTCAGTCCATGCTAAGCTGGCTCCCAAATAGGAACATCATAGCACAACGGTGTGACATAAAAAAGCTGCTCAGTTCATGGTAGTCAAAAAGCACAGAAAATGCGCAGCATGAGGGAGAAAAGGTCAGGGACCACCTTAGGCTGCAAGGTCATGCTCTGTGACCCAGAGATGGCTCCCAAGCCAATCAAGTTGACAACTGAGCCTAATTATCATCCAAGATGAGTGACAATGTATGTTTACAAAACAACGTGCAAAAATGTGTGCAGAGCCAGGTGTGGTGATGCACACTTGTAATCCCAGCCCTCAAGAGGCTGAGGCAAGAGGATCATTGTGAGTTCAAGGCCACCCTGGGCTACAAAATGAGTTCAAGGCCAGTCTAAACTACGTAGTGAGACCCTGTCTCAAGAAGATAAAAAGAAAATGCACCCAGAAGCTTTACCTATATCAGTTAAAAACTAAATGTCTAACAATAAGAGGCAGTAAACAAGTTGTGGCAATGAATAAGTGGGGTTCATTATACTAGCATTCTGTATCTATTTTTGAATTTTTCCACCAAAAAAGTTTGTAAAAAGACAAAATGACCAAAGGCATTTGAGGAACTAAATATAGCCCAGTACAGCTGGAGCAGAGACTCTTTCACCCCACAGGAATTTTCCCAGACAGTGGTAAATTAAAAACATCAAATCTCTTAGTCATATCTCATTGTAGAGCATGGATGGTTATATGACTGGCTAACATAAGCGATTAATTGTGGTGGGAAATACAGACATTTATATCTTAAATGTAAACATAAGTTACCAAATATCATTCATAGAGGTACCTGGCAGCAGTTAGAACAAGTATTTAAACATGAGCCATTTAGCACTTATGGAGTATAGACATGCTTAATGATACAGGCATAGACCAGTATAATTCCTCTTAATTTGCAAAAACTCCTGAAGTCACAGCAACTAAACTACATTACACCCAATCAGCAACTAACAAAAAAAGACAACTATAGTACAAATGTCTTATGAATAAAAATTATGTATCTGAAAATATGTAACAAACATGACAAAGAAACCATCCTACGCATCACTTCCTATATTAAAACAAACCAATGTCTATACTGTATATTTCAATAGGAGAACACATTAAGTTTTCTTTATCTTAATACTTTGTATGTGACTGTGTGAAAGAAAGAGACAGCAAGAGAGAGAAATTGGTGCTCTGTGTAGGTTTATAATAAATTATAGATTTTTTTTTCTTTCTTGGCGAGAAGGAACTTAAATGTAATTTATCAACTAGTGATTTCTATTGTTTTGTCTTTTTTAAAAAAAAGTCTGTATTATTTCTACACTTTTTCTGTTTTTTTTCTCTAAATAAAAATAAAAAATTCATTTTAATTTTACAAATGATGGAATTGTAATCAATAGAAACGAGACGATTGGAATGTGTGAAGGGGTAAGACAACAATCCACAATTCAGATTTGATTTCTTCAAACTCACATAGATTATATTACAATGTGATAAATATGAAATATTTTCCATTGTCTTCATTGATCTAAAGTAATTACAAGAAGTTCATCTTGGTAAACTTTTGTTTAAAAGATTTCCAGTATGCTCACAGAAATATTCTTTTGCCTCAGCAAGATTACAATATTGGAACAGGATGACAACCTTGAAAGATGTTTGAAAACAGCCAATTCACCACTCGCGTTTGTGTACTCACAAAGAATTACAGCAGATACTGAATGGCTGAGCTTTTATTTTCTCATCTTGATCACCTCTTTATTGGACACCACCACAGGCTCTTTATATCAACGTTTTCCAAGCTAAAGATTACAGTCCATTGGTGAGTTGTAAAATCAACTCAGTGGCTACAATCAGAATTTTTAAAAAATGAAATTAGATTAGAAAGTATCAGTGGATGACACACATCATTATGACAAGTATTATTTTATAAAATTTTTAATTCAATTTTGCACATATCTGTCCACACTGGGACACAATGTAAAACCTTTCTTTTAGTGCATCACAGTCCAAAGTATTTGAAAGCAAATGATGCTCAGAATCTCATAGTGATGTTTTGTTTTGTTGTTTTTTTTTTAAATCGGTACCAGGGATTGAACTCACAACTGCCTGCTTGCAAGGCAGGCGCTTATGCCGCTGAGCTAAATCCCCAGCCCCTCATAGTGATCTTAAAATGCTTTAATTCTAATTATCTTTTTCTCAACTCACATATTCATGTGTCCATGATTTCAAAAACGAGAATTTTTAAAACCACAAACCACAAAATGACAGATTATTTTCATTATCTTTTATCTTAATACACAATTTCTAGACTTAACTCTATACTTTCTAATTTCTTAGCATCTGTGAACATTTTTCACTATGGTAACATTCATGTAACATAAAAGTCAACATTTAATCTTTTAAGGCATACAACTCAGCAGCATTTAGTACACTTACAGGGATGTGTGACTATCACCACTATCTAGTTCTACAACATTTTCATTAACCAAAAAAGAATACATTTTATTCACTAGTAATTGCCTGATTCTCATCCCCCCACAGCCAGGAAATTAGTAATTTACTGCCACTATGCACTTGTGTATTCTGGATATTCACATTAATGAAATAGCATACTGTGACCCTTCACTTAGCATGGTATTTTGAAGTTTGTCCGAGTTACAGTATGTGTCAGCTCTTCACTCTTATGCAACTGTTCATCTACTAGTGGACATTTAGCTGTTTCTACCTTATGTATTGTTTCTGTTTTCTTCCAGGTGTGCTATGTTTATTAATATCTTATTATAACTCATACTTGATTGAATTTAATCTTGCCAAGCTTAACTGAAGATTTGTATCTACTTCTAAATGGACCCAAAGGGCAGCCCTGATCTTCTGGGTACCATACAGCAGATACAGATGTAATGGAAGAGTCCGTTTCTATTTTCTGCAAAAGTCCAACACCTTCAACGTCAAACTCCATATGGCAGTGACATTTTATCCTAGGCAATAATTAATCAATTCATTTGTTTAAACTACTCACCATTCAAGTTTTAGCTACTTTTAATTGTCTTTTGGTAAATGTGGAAGTCATGTGATACCATTGAAAGATTTTGGGTCTTTGTCACCTCTGGACCTAAATCCTAAATCTGTTTCCACATTTCCTGAATGAAAAAGGCAATAGGGACATCTTTTGCTCTAAAGAGTGACTTTTGAGTAGGACTGGACTGGCTACGTTAGTGGCTTGTTTAGTGAACCATCAGGCACTGCAGTTTTCTGTAATGCTGGGACCCCAATAAAACCTGGAAGGACATTCTCATTTCCTCTTCCAGTACTGAGGTGACATACAGAGGCAAGAAGGGGCAGTATTAGAATAGCAAGCAGTGAAGGGCAGAATACATGAGAAAGCTAGAGATGAAAGTAAAATAATTACAACTCTAAATACCTTAGAATGGGCTAGGGCTCTTTTGTACAGCTTAAAGCTGTGACTCATAGTACAAATCTAGGAAGAGACCACAACCACTTTGCTAAACCAGTATTTTTCTCTGATCGGTGGGTTTTGTCAGGGTTTTCTAGCTCCCTCTGACCCACTGGTTGATGTGGTAAGGAATGATAAAAGCTGAAGTAGGTAAGCAGAGAAAGGACTCTAGAGGATGTGGGAAGATCAGTCAGATGATTACTGCAGTCAATGAGAAAGGGTTACAAATACAATTAAAAAGATATTTTAAAGTCACAAAGAAGTATGACATAAAAATATGAAAGTTCAGATGAAATCGGAGGTTATACAGTGCATACAAACTATCAAAATTGATTCAGAAAAACCCGAGTGGCACAGATAGCATAAGAAAATGTGGGGGGATGGTGAGGGATTAAAGAGCAGGCAAAATACCTTACCTCTAAAATGCCTCCAAGTTTGAATGATTTAGCAAGAAAACTCCATCAAAAATTCAGAGTGCAGGTAATTCCTATGATATTCCAATTATGTTGGAAAATCAGAAAAAAGTAAATTCCTCAATTCATCCTCCAAAGACAGAATAACCAGGAAGCAAAATGTTGTTAAAAAAATCCTTCAAAATATATATCAGAGTCTCAAGATGAAAAATCCTAAATAAAGTACATAACAATTAATACAACAGCATATTTAGAAAACACTGTGTCCAAGTATATTTTCAAGTTAGGAATTAAAGGCTAGCTAAATAATAAATACTAGATATTTTTACTAAATAGCATACATGCAATATATATGCCATAAAATGATAAATTAATGAATTTCACCAAAGAATAAAAGGAGGGAGAAAGCTCTGGAGTCAGTAATTACAGCAGAAATAAGAGGCTGGACAAACAGCTAACCTGGGGCCCAAAACATGTGAAACACAATCATTTCAAGCAACAACCAGAGTTAACAGCTCCTAGAGAAAAGCTCTACCAACAGATGCTAAATCAGAGGATGGTTTGGGAAGAAACAAAGTTCCCATCATTTTACAATAACTACCCACCCCCCAAGGTATTTATTGGTTCCAAAAGGAAACCAGTGATTTTACAGGGAAGACACTTGGCAGAAAGCACCTTAACCAGGGGACCATGGTCAGCACCAGCAGTGCCGAGACACTGCCGGCCATGAGACAGGTGAAATTATGCAGGGAGAGAGACAGGAGAGAGACGGCGTCAGCTCACGCGATCCTCACTACCATGCACAGCCTCAGAACAACCCAGAGAAAACACTGAGCAAGTCAACATCAACAGACTGACAAAATGATGTACTATACATGTTTCAAAAACACCAAGGTCATGAAAGTCAAGAAGAAACAGAGGGGAACTGTTAGGACTGCAGGGACCAAGCACAACCAACAAGTAAATGCCATGTAAGATCCTAGATCACAGTGCAAAATACAAAAAAGACATCATGTCACTTAAGAAGCAGCAGCCATGAGCTTGCTAAGATTGTCCTCTGACTTGGACAACCTGTGTACTCAGTACCTCAGCCCTAGCCCCTGAGCAAGGAATTTGCTGCTAAAATCATAAACATACTCTCTGTGAAGCAAGCAGCAGGTTCTAAAGGAGGAATGACCCAGATACACTCAGGGCTTTCTCATGAATTCCTAACTGGACATGTTGCTCAGATTCTCCTAGATGTACAAGAGGTGCTGAAAGCTATAGATGTTTAATATTTTTAAAGAGCCCCGTTATGTTAAACTAATAAATTTCATTCTACATGGAAAGAAACATCATGCATTGGGAATAAGTATTCCCCTTAATCTCACTTATAAAACTATCTGGGTCAGTAGTTTCTACGTTTGTTCAATTTTTAGTTTTAGAAAATACTATATGATGGATCCCATAGTGTTACTGATCTCATAGCTATTCATATCCTCTACTTCTTGAGTCAACTTTGTAAGCAAATAGTGTCTACCACCTGCATTTCAACCATACTCTCAATTGTCCTTAGCACATGAAACAACCCCTACTCCTCCCTACTCTGAAAACAAGAATGGCCTTCTGGGTTCTGGGCTTCTTTTCTGGTTTGTCCTTATCTGTGACAATGGTTATTTAGTTCCTACACTGGTAAAAGGTGCAGCTAATAACCGAGACAAGAAGACCTCTGATGAGAGATAAAACCAGACAGTGAGAACTCTTAACATATGGGGGCCTCTCCGCAAGGTCCCAGGGTGTGTTTGGATGACCACATACCAGTGGAGAATCAAGATGGCTACTGCCACTGCACATCAGGAGGAGGAGGAAAAGATAAGCAATCTCTATTCACTGCTCAAGAAAGGTTCAAGAAAGAGAATGAAGGAATAATCAAAAGAAAACCCAAACAACAGTGGCTCTCAATTCTGAAATAGGTAAGGAGGGAAAATAACTATGACTCAAGAAAAAAATGCCTAAGGAAAATAGAGAACAATGACTGAAGCTCCAAAGGTTCCCAATCAGAGTCTGGAGGATCCATGGCAGGAACAAGCAAAGCCTAAGCTCCTCGGATTTGCATTAGAACCACAGCCATGTCTATTACCTGGGAAATGTGAGGCTACAGCTAAATATGTGAATGATAGGAAACTCACCCCACAGAGAATTAAAGCTGCCTCGAGAAAACACGCCATTTAAACAGTCAAGCTCTGTAACAAGTGCTCTGGCTAAACAGAAGCTGTGGGATTGCGATGAGAACAAGGAACGCAGGGCTGAAACCAAACACGCCATGAATCCTTTAAACAACATGATGGACTAAAGACAAAGAAGAGAATGCTGACAAAAGGAAAGCATAACCCAAGAGGACTTATTTAACACGGAAGATGAGAGAACAAGAGAGAAAGAGCTCGTCTCTTACTGTGTACCATGTCCATTTGGTTCTCTTAATCTTTCCAGGTTAAAACACTAATCAATACACTTAGGTAGGCTTTGGAATATTTTTAGAGGGACTGACTGCAGTAACTTTCTGCTTCAAAAATGAAAATTCTGAAAGAAATCTACTGTTTGGAGGCAGTGCCATAGAAAACACATCTGTATGAAGAAAAACTTCGATCTTACAGCACTGGGTTGTGCTATCAGCTATACAGAATGCCTCTTCCGCTTTCCTACCAATGAACTTGTGGAAAATTATCACTCATGTATTGAATGTGTTATGCATAAAATTGATTTAAAAATAAACAGGAGGCTGCTGATAACAAAAATGAAGAATTTGCTGAATAAATTAAATTTAAAATTCAAACAATGATTAATACAATTCAATATATACCCAACCCCAGAAATTATAATTTAAGTCTAATCCCTGTTCTAACCACACTTCATCTCAAAAATGAAAAAGTATACTAACCCACAGATATATCTAAACAAAAAGTTGTGAGGTAAATATGGCACAATGTTATGATAAGATTGAGGGTTGGGGATTTAGCTCAGTGGCACAGTGCCTGCCTGGCAAGTGCAAGGTCCTGAGCTTGATTCTTGGTTAAAAAAAGAAAGAAAGAAACAAAGAAAAGAAAAAGGCTGAGCTTTATGTTTTATTTAAAGAACATATAATTTTTAAATTAAAAAAAGCAAAAGAATGATTATAAAGATTAGTTCAGTGAAAAGGGCCAAGAACAAGGTTGCAGGCAGAAAGAACAGCGTGTGCCAAAGCAGAGCACAGCACCTTGCAAGATGCTTTAGAAAGATGCCTTGCAAGTAAAAAAAAAAAAAAAAAGAAAAAGAAAAAAGAAAAATGGGAAAGTAATTAGTGAAGCCCCAGAGCCAAGTTCTAAGAAAAGAAGTCTGAAGAAGCTACAGCTTCTGCCACCCTATGAAACGACACGGCAGAGGCATCTGGTGGCAACTGCATGCAATTAAACACCCAGTAAAAGAAGGGCTTATCGCACGCCAAACACCTGTAACATAGGAAGCTCTTTGCATACATTATCACATTTAATTTTCCCAATAACCCAGGGCTAGATATCATTATTCCTATTTTACATAAGCACTCTAAAGATCAGAAAGGTTAACTAATCCCTGTACACAACCAGTAAGTCTGTCTATTCCTATAAAGGAAACGGTTTTAATATGTTCCTGCTGGCTCGAACAACTAGTGGTCCATGTATGGCTGATAGAAGAGTAGAAGTGGCACATGTGTGCATGGAAACCATGCACAGACCATTGGTGGCTCAATCATCTGCCATTGAGACATATAAACTATGGCCACGTCATCAATGTATTAAAATTTTGTTGAGATGTAAGTATACAATTTGATGCGTTTTGGCAAATTTAATGCAACTGTGCAAGCACTTCTACCATCCAACTCTGGGATATTTCCATCACCCTATAGAATTCCTTTATACCCATTTGCAATTAACCTTTGCTCCCATCCCTGGAACTTGGTAACCATTTCCTGTCTATAATTTTGCTTTTTCTATTATATAAATGGAATTATAAAATACATGGTCTCCAAAGATTTTATATCACTGTGTTCTCAAAAGATACAAGTACTGTAGTAGTTATAATTATTATGCCATATTTCTAAGTGTGCTCAGAAACTCAGTGCACCATTTTAAAAGCCATCAAAGACAATGATTCTCTCATATCTTTGAGTATGGTGCATATCTTCAGTTAAGGAAATATATATGGTTCTCAAGAATATTGTAAGGCCATTTCTTCTCCCCCCCCCCTCTATTTTTTGTTTGTTTGTTTGGTACCAGGGATCAAACCCACAACGTCATGCTTGCCAGGCAGGTACTTATGTCACTGAGCTATACCAGTAGCTATAAGACCATTTCTAAAGTCATTATTTCTGCTCCACTAAATCTTTGGCAAATATAAACAAATGACAGATAATACATTAAATTAAATATTTCCTTTTGGTCCAACTCTAGTAACAGTAGTTGATTCCACTGGTGGAGGTACTTCCTAAGCACCAAGCCACACTGAGCTGCTTATGGCAGAGACTGAAACCATTCATTCTTCCAACAGCAAAGAAATGTAGAACATCTACTTTGAAGTTCCTGGCTTCAGTGTGAGAGTGATCATGGATCACAGCCTGCTAAATTTCAGCCCATCATCTCACCTAGAAGGAGTGAACTACAGCACTTGCCACTCCTCACTTTATACATCATCACATACATAAAGCTAATCAAGCTATTTCATAAAACGGTTTTGTAAGAATTCTGTGAGACTCAGAATGGGAAACACAAAGAGCTTTGTCTCCCTCATGCTGAAGTCACAGATCTACATGGAAAGTAGTTTTCTTCTGGACATAGAACAGCAAACAGAAGTAGTAGCTATAGAAGCTACAATGCTCAAAGCCAGAGGAGAAATTCTATTTATAAAGGGCACCAGCTAGGCCTGAGATAGCATCCCAAATGCTTACACCTAAGGAAAAGGTATTTTACATTTAAAAAGCTCACTCTAGAAGATTAAGCTGATTTTACCATTAAATAGTCTCTTGTTCTAGATTGTAATTTTTTTAATGTTAAGTGTTCTAGATTTAAAGAAAAATTTGCTTCCTTACTCAGTATTTTTCAAACCTCTGGTTTGTTATCTCAGTGGAGTAGTGCCTGTAGCCCGGCACTTGTTTTGGCTAAGTAACCACACGCCTTTCTCTACCGTGTGCAGGCCGTGGAACCTTATCTGCTAGGACCAGCTTTTGCCACCCTAAGAAGGCCTCCCAGTTGCATGCTATATATTTTTTCCCCTAGATGAAAACAAGACAAAATTAACATTGATTTTACTCAATACATAAGAAATTACAGATGTCAATGAGACTTAATATGTCAATGAGACTTTTTAAAGTTAAAATTTATTAAGCTCCTTCCATGCATTAACTTGTTTAACTTTATGAGGTCGCTACTGTTATTATATCCATTATATAACAAGAGAAATATGGCAAGGATGTTAAACAAATTGCCCATGATCACGAGGCTAGCACACAACAGAGGTGGTGGTGAAGCCCAGGCAGACTGGCTCCAAAGCCACACCCCTACCCACTGCATCACTATACTTCTGTGAATCCAGGAGTCCTACTGTCCCTGATGGACATTATAAGGCCCAGAAATACATTTGCATTCAAGACAAAGCCTGTGAGTCAGGAACCTTTCATTCTTGTTGTGACCTTTAACTGCTTTTATTTTCAAACAATTCTCTCACATAGCTTAGGTCTCAAATTTTCTCAACTGTACAATGCAGGAGCAGAATGGATGGAACCAGAGGACATCATGTTAAATGAAGGCAGACCCAGAAAGACAAACACCACAAGTTTTCACTCAGACATGGTCACTAAAGAGCTTGATTTCATAGAAGGAAACAGTGGAGAGGGACTATTCTAAGCCAAGTCCCTTTCCGAGGGACTTTCCTCGGAAAGTCCCTTCCAAGGAAACCAGGGATAGAGGGAATGACTGGTACAAAATACATTTAGACATGAGAGACTCGTAGTGCTGAACAGCACAGCAGGACGACTATTGCTCACAATTTATTATATATTTTATACAGAACTAGAAAGAGTACCATGTTTCCCAACACAAAGAAATAGTAAATGTTCAGAGATGAAATGCTAATTACTCTAATTTTGATCATTATACATTACATATGTATTAAATCATTAGTTTACTCCACGTATCAAGGATAATGTAATTTTTTTTAGAAAAAAGCATTTGAAGAAAAAATAAAGCTGAATCATGTATTTTCTAACTTTTTAAAGCTAACAATCTACACATAAAATTTAACATTTCTCATTATACTCACTATATTTTATTTTAACAAACTCCTCGCCTTTTCCAGGAAAAGCTGGCACATGAAACATAAAGTGTCATCCACTAGCCTGGGCTATTCTCCCTCTGCCCGGCAGAGCCATCGTACCCCTTTCTCCACCAAACTCCAGAATCAGTCCTAGACATGTGCAGGACCACCTGTCTCCTTAACAGCATCAGCATGTATGAGCTGCTTGTTTGCTGCAGTTGGTATCTGACCTCCCACCAGAACCTACCTTTTTCAGGGTCAGATTCAACTCTGCCATCCGTAATCTAGTATAACAGCCCCATGTCTGGCCCTTATCATTGAACTTTCAAATAGAGGTGCCCCCTTTGCTGAGACTAAAGAGTGGAAATGCTCTTTCCGAGCATACATACATCTCCACTCTCTCACCCACCTCTCATCTGTATTTTCTCATCATACTTCTAACATGTGGGGGCAGGGATACAGCTCAGCAGAACACAGAATACCATACTGTTACTGTGAATAACTATGGAAAAGCAGTGTTACCGTAGACAATTGTGACATCTTCAATTCTGTTACGTTCTATGTGTATCTGTCACAAATATCACAATTGCTCATGATGAAAATTTGCTTCTTCTTAATAGAATGAGTGATAATATTGCTTCTAACTAATATCAAAACCACTTATTCATAAGCCAACTATTCTGGTTGTAGTAGTCAGGATTTGTAAGGGAAACAATTTAATACAGGACACATAATTTATAGGATTATTTTATAATAGTCACCCAAAGAGTCAAATACAAAAAAGTGCAGGAAATCTGTTTACACCCTAGAGACCCAAAGAATTCAGCTGAGGGCCTGAATCCTATGATGATGTAATGTATGAGTCCAGCTGACGACCTAGAGCCCATGACAATGACCCTGTGAGTCCAACTGGAGGCCTAGAGCCTAAACAATGTCTTTTGCTGCTGGGAAAGTCCAAAGGTCTGTGGTGGAAGCTAGAAAGTCTGTAGCAGCGGGGATGAAGGATCTGTGCCAGCAGGCTGAGGAACATGCACTGGAGCCAGGAAACCATGCTCAAAGTAAGGAGCTCACCCAAAGTGAACTGCAGCCAGCCTTACCAATAACCAGGTCCCAAGCTTCTCTGACAATGAAAACAGCCAAGTTCCTATCAGGAAGGCCAGCGCAACTCCCTTTTCTAAGAGAATCATCAGCACCATCTCTTTCTCTCCAGTTCTCCTTTTTCCACTGTTGGCAACAATCCACAAGTGGGCCTTCCACACCCAGCACCATGCTGATCAGTTCAGTTGGGTGTTACACGTTGACCACCAGTTGTCAATCTACCACACTGATGAAGGATGTTTGATACGGTTAAAGTTTTACATGACAAGCTAGCTCTCCATGGGTATCTATATCCACAGTACAATTAAATTCAATGAGCAAGTGCCCTTAAACCCAGAATCAGTATTCCTAAATGTCAAATGCCATAAAACTCTGCCACTTATAAATAGCTGTCTTCATCCTCTATGGTAGGTAGTGGGTGCTCCATGCAAGGAACTTCAATATGATAGTAGAAAACTCTCCTCACTGGGCATGGTGGTGCAGCCCATAATGCCAGCTATTTGGAGGCCAAGGCAAAGGATAAGTTCAAGATCAGCCTGAACAATTTACCAAGTCTACATTTCAAAATATAAAAAGGCCTGTGGCTGTAGCTTTGTTCTAGAGTGCTTGTCCAGCATTTATGACGCCCTGAGTTGAATCAGCTACACTAAAAGAAAAGTTTACTTTTGAATTTGTCTTCATTTGGTATGGGGGAAAGGATGAGCAAATGAACATCTGTTAAAAGCTGCTTCCTTCAGGTGTTCTGACTTGAATTGTCTTGAGTTCAAATCCACCTACTACTCAATATAGAGTGAGGTCTGACACTTAGTGGGAACTGTCAGGCCTTGGATTTGTGTTTTCCTGGAAGTAAAGGTATGAGCATTGAGAATCTAGGGAAGACTTGTGTTCTCAGAAAGTTAAACAACATAGAGGACCAGCCCAGATTACGTCTTAATGAAATTAACTCATAGGCCATCGTGGAGTTTAAAATGAGGTAAAATCATCTTTTCAAATATATGTATAATTAATTATTCTGCTGGCTGGTTACACTAAGTCGGCCAGCTTCTAGAAATCAGAAAGGGAAACCACGCATGGCTAGGCACAGGTCATTCCTTATGGCCAGTGTATGTACTAGCTTGAACCTGCCTAGAAGTTCTAGAGCCTGGTGCTGGCCTCGGGTGACTAGATGGCATTATCACGGGTTTCTCTTGTTCAGTAATTTGGCCCCGAACTTTACAATACTCCCCCATTCTCCCCTGCCCTGCTTTTTTCTGTTCTAGAAGCTTTTAGGGTGTTCATGACTTTTCTTTCCCATCTAAAACAATGTCAGGGAACTAAGGGGAATCCCTATGAAAGCAGTGAGAGAAAGTAAGAATGAGCCACGGGGTATAATCTCGACACTGTAAAGGCTTTCGCTTTAATCGCAGTTAAGATTTAAAAGCATGCATATCCGCGCCAAAGGAGCGCTCTTCTGTGAGAACCCCTCAGCACAGGTTTTAAACCTAAAATGTTCCCAGTAAAAGAAACATCACCTCCTTTCTTCCAAGATTCCTCCGACACCGTTTCTTAAAGGCATGTGCTTCCTTGGGACGCCAAAAACTTTGGAGAACATCAACCCCTCCAGAAAATCGCTCATCCGCCTGGGTGATGTCCCGGAGTTTGTTCCTCTCCTAACGTACGTCTAAGCCCGCCCCCCTGCTACTGATGCCATCCGCTCACTGGTGAAGAGCCGTGTTCGTCTTCTCAGACAGCCAATCAGCACCTCTCTCAACGCCAGCGATTTGGGAAACGGAAAAAGCCCTCGGCCGGTCCGGGGAATGGGGCGGGGTCGTAAGTGAGTGACAGCCACATCCTCCAATAGGCAAAGCGAAGCGATCGGCCCCTTTTGGTTGTGGGGCTAGAAAAGAGCGTTGATGCCGGCGGCCGCGATGAAATCTAGGAGGCGCTGGCTGGTCTGTGACAGTGGAGAGCAGCGGCGGCTCCTGGTGGTCTCTTTGCAGGTGAGTAGTTTTGTTGAGGAGGAGCGTTACAGGTGCGAACGATTCTGTTTTGAAAGAATGGGGGATCCTACTATGGGGGTGCGGGAAGGCCGGGTGCTAGTGAGTCGGTGGCAGGAATAGCTGGCTGCTGAAATGGGGATGAACTTTTTCCTCCTGGACGACGAGGCAGGTGTAAGGGCCTCTTGGGCTTCGGGCTCTACCACTGTATCTATGAGGATGGCAGGGTTGGCCTTGAAAGTTTAAACAGATGCAAAAAAAAAACCAAACAACATTGAATGCCATGAAAGGAAAGGAGGTGAATATATGCAGTGGTCTCAGGAGCCAGATCACAAGTTCATAAAAGCACTGAACCTTTAAATCAGTGTAATTCCCTCTGTTCTAAAAGATGGGGCGCGTATTATATTAATAAGGACAAAATGATGCATAATTGAAATTAAGTGCAGTTAGATTTTGAAAGATAATTACTTGTTAGCTAGTTTAACTTCCATTCCCCTGTCTCCTTCCTTCCAATTTGTGGAGAATTTATAGCTTGTGAGTGATTATAGAATATTAACGAAGCGAATGTGGCCCCCTTGGGGGGGCATTATTTTTCACCAGTAGGTATTAAAGTTTTCTATAATAAAAGAACTCATGTCAATTTGATTTTTACTTCAAAACTGTCTCCCCTGAGTCCACTAGGTTTATCCATTTATGTATTTCAGTGTCACCTCACACATCAAAAATTGACAGCCTCTCTATGGTGGTGAATTTTAGAGAAACAAAACAAATGGCATAGTTAGACCTCAGTACATCTTGGTTTTAGCCCTGAAGCTGCTACTATTTTTGTAATCTTAAACAAATCATTTTAACTCTGACTTTCAATTTTCACATCTTTAAAGCAGAAGTTGCTTTAGATTATTCTCAGGTTGGCCTTAAAAGTTTAAATATATGCAAAAAAAACAACATTGCTGTATTAAACAGGCTGTATTAAAGTATGCCTTAAAACAAAGATGATTAACAATTCCCTTACACAAGCGAAATTGCTTTGTAGTAAGTTCTCTAGAAATAGTATTTTCTATCTATATTTATACTAAAGCAAAGGAAGCAGCTCATTGTAGAAACTTGGAAAGTACAGAAATACAGTGTGGCAGGGGGCATCATCTTTAATGGTTAGATATTTAGTGTTTGGGAAGATCTGTTAGCTTCTTCCTTTTTTACCTTCTATTTGATGGCTGGTTGACATTAAGAAATGTATTTCACTATGATACATATTACACTATTATACATCTAAGTTTCTCTGTGCATCTTTGTGTAGCTTGCCTTGAGAACATAGGAGACAAGAAACGTTTGAAGTGAACAGTTTCTTGAACATTGTTGGAATAAAACCTGCTATGAGACAGTATTTATGTAGGAAAATAGGACAAAAACTATTAATAGCAAAAATCTTTTCTTGGACATTTTAGTATGGAGGAAATATACTTGTTGACTACTTCATGAAAGTATTTAGATTGTAAAATACTACTATATTTTATACTACTATGCTTTTAGGACTATATCTTTTCATCATACTTATTCTTCCTTTCACTAATCTAAATTCCTCTTTAATCTTCCCCCTCAATTTACTTGATTTCCAGATTTTGCACCTGTTTGCACCATCAACCAGGTAGAATGGTTTTGATGAGCTTGAGATTTGTGCTAGTATTTGTGAATTAGTCAAAGCCTGCTGTCTACCTCTCAGTTTTTGGTAGAATACTCCATCATTTAATATTCCTAACAGTTCCTTGAGAACAAGAGTTTCATTATTGTCATCTTTATGGGTATGGAACATACAAGATCATACTGCCAATAAGCAGCATAGCCAGGCTTATAACCAGGTTTTTTACTTACAGTTCTTTTTTGGGATTGGAGGATACAGTCAGTTTTGGCAAAGTTACTATCCTAGGAAATTAAATTTCCAGAGAAAAGAGGACATGATAGTGTTTTGCAGAATGGTTTTGAACAAGTATGGTGGTCCCAGGAAAACAGACTTCTCTCTCCCTTCCCTGTGAGGAGGGAGCCACCTGCTGTAGTTTATTACTCTGTAACAGGTTCTCAGGAGGGGATGTTAGTGTATTCAAGGTTGATGAATAAGAGGGATATAGTGTCTGGAAACATAGTCTTATAACTGTAAATACAAATGGAAAATTTGCTGTAAAATAATAGACGATGGAATATTAAATACCTTAAGGAACAATTATGTTTGAACATTTAATGTTGAACTTGATTTGAGGAAGATATATTTTATTAAGATATTTGAAGCTCTAAGGAACTAAAGACTGGATTGCATTTCCCTTGAGCACAGTTTCATTTTAATTCATCAAGACATTGTGAACCTCATTGTCTCGATGCCCTCCATCACAGTCAGCCCATCTTCTGTACAGGTAGATTCCATGGTTTGGTGGAGTTAAGAGTTGCTCAAGACTGAGAATTTGGATCAACGCAAACATCTGAGTGGTCTAGGGAAACAAATGAATATTTAATATTTACTCATTAACTTTGAGTCAAAGTGATTCTGGTTCTAGAGGTATTTTATGTAACTTGACATTATATTGTGGATCAGATACCTTGCTCAGTTTTTGGAAATAGAAGAAAAACTAAGCATTTGGGCCAGAGGTGACCCTTCAGTTTGCCCCATCTTTGCATGACTTATGATATGAGAGCCTTAGACATTAATTTTCAAACATTTGGGGAAAGAAGGAAACAAAGACTTAAAACTGTTCCTTTGGAAGACGGTATGGGCATCAGTTATAGACAGGATGCAGTATATGAAATTATATGACATAATGAATCCAGATGAAATTTCTATACATAGATAGTGAAAAATCTTTGCAAGTGGTAAATCACCTGCAGAGTATGTCCTGTGAACTGCCTGTTTGTCTCTTTATTGCCAAAGCAGTTGCTTAGCAGCTCCAGCTTGTCAGGCACACACTTAAGTACGAGGCACTGTGGGATAGTTTATAAAATTACTCATAGGAGTAAACCATGTCTAAATTGCAGGCTGTATGTTGAGGGATGTTAACAAAATGAATCACTTTAGATTTATCTCAAACCTGAAATCAGTTAAGCCAAACTTAGATTTAAATGGATGCAGTACTGTCTTCTGTGCAGAAATAAAACAATAATTGTGAATGATATTCCATTCCTAAAGGTGCTTTGCAATTCTGGCCAGGAATAAAGTCTGGCAATTTAATAATGTATCCTATGACAGGATTGCTAATTAAGGTTAAAAATGCTGATGTACTTAAAAGATCTGAGGATGGGATTCAGGTAGGTAGGGATCTGCATACCTCTAAGCCTTCTGGCCCACTATCTGTTTACAAGGTATGAACAGGTTTTATACTTCAAATGGTAGCTGAATCCAACAGTAACAAAATGTCATGTGTACAAAAATTGTATAAAAACGCTGTATCTAATTCAGTGTTTATACATAGTTTTTATTGCAATACAGCCACACCTGTTGTATTATGTCCAATCCATCTACAGATGCTTTCAGCTACAATAGCAGAATTGTACATCATTATGGCAGAGACCCTGTAGCCCACTGTGTCCTCCAAAATTCCTGTTGGCCCTTTTACTGAAAAAATTGCTAACAACTGAGCTAAACTGTAGTGTCTTTCACACTTATCTTCTTCATCCCACTGTAACAGCCATTATCCTGGCCCAGATCTTCATTATATGTTACCAGAACTATTACAAAAACCTTACAATAACTATGAGTGTTCACCCCCCTGGTTTTTCCTGTCTTTCTCTGTGTAAGTACTGTCTAGTCCTCTCAAAATGCATGCTATTAACTTTTAATGACATCTCAATTTATAAAAGAGGCCACATCCTTTGCAACTAAGCCTTCCTTGGGCCACTATTCAGTCTTACTTTCTAGAGTCATCTCCTCCTACTTCCTGGTTATACCCTATACTTAGGATAACCATGTAATTTTCCAAATGGGACACTTGAGTGTGAAAGGGTTGGGAAGGAAACAGGCCTAAAGCAATACTGTTGAAGGTAAATGAGGATGTAGAGTCGCTCTTGTAACGCCAGCCTGATTGGTGGAGTTGCTGTTCTCTGTATGCACCTGTTCTTCTGGCTCTACTTATTCTTCCTGTAAAATTGCTTTTTCTTTTTCTGTAAATTGAATGTTAACTGTCTTTCCGAATCCAGCTTAAATAGTATAATGTCCGCGAACTTACTCAGAAGTAATTTCTTCCTCCCCGTTTCCTTTATGAATAAGTGCTTCTCATGGTGTGAGTTACTTTCAGCTTCGGTGATACATACACAACCCATACCACACCACTTTTCCTCATTGGTTTCTTGAAAACGTAATCTGTATTGGACTCCTCACAGGCCTTCATGGGGTTTGCAGTATGTTCAAAGGATGAATTAATTGGCTAATTTAGAGAGACTGGAGTAATAAGTCTTCAATTTATGAATCAGTCATTTTAATGTGATTAAAGTAGTGAGAAAAGTTGGCTTTCCAAGAACTCAGGATAGAGCTTTAGGCTTAGGGCCCAGCCTTCCTGAGACTGAATTCCAGCTTTGTCAGTTAGAACTTGAGAAAGTTATCTCGACCTAAGTTTCTGCATCTGTAAAGTAGGGGGTAATTATAGAACCTACTCCATGGAATGGTAGTTGAGGGTTCAAACAGTACATGTACCTGGTGAGTACTCTATGAATGTTAGCTCCTGCGGTTAATATCATCACCATCACTACCACCACCCACCACCACCACCACCACCCCTCCCACAGGTGGGTCAGAAAGCACAGGGACCCCACCATGTAACATAGGAGAGCTGGAGGAAATGTAGCACCAAAATCTTCGCAGATCTATTTTTTCCCTGATGGAAGCAGTCAGTTTCAGGGCAATCAAAACAGTACAAATCCTAAGCGATTATGGTTTTTGTTTAGTAAGAAAACTAATCTACAGTCTTTTGAGAGACAGATTTGTTAAGAGTGGGCAAGGTAAGAACTAAGAAAGTAGTGTGTACAAGGAAGAAAGCGTGGGAAAGAGGAGGATGAGGTCAAGTCATGTGGACGATACCTTTGTTTAGGAGCTGTTCTTTTCAAACTAGACCATAACTTTAAAAAGGAAGAAACTCTGGGGAATGGTAATCCAGTAATTTATGTGGCCTGTTATTTGGTAGGAGGTAAGTTATTGGTTAGATTAAGTGTTTAAGTCTCAGTAACTTGCTGAGTGGTATTTATTTAAGAAATCTTAAGAACAAACTGCAGGTTGGTGGCTTTACCAAAAACTAAACAAGAAACAAAGCTTGCGAGTTTAAAAGGAATTTTTCACTGGAGGAGGAAGGTTTAGTCTGTTCTTAGGTAGGTATTTCTTTGTGAGCTAAGGTGATTACTGCTTGGCCTGCCTTTCTGCCTTGAGGTTTGTCATAGAGAGCTGAACCCTTTATCACAGATGCATTTTGTGAAGTAGTAGCCTGGGTTTGTAAAGATGAGCTGTGACTGCAGATCCACACATGTGGTTAAACCAAGTGAGCCTATATCCCCATGCCAAGAATGAAATCATCAGAGGTAAGGAGGAAAGACCCAAGGATTGGAGGCAGAAGGTGTGGGTCACCATTTCAGTTGCCCATCTAGTGACACGTGTCAGTCTCCATTTTCTCTGTAGAGATCATGGCCATGCATGAACATACTAAACTTACAAAAATACAGGACATACAACTAGAGTGCATAATTACTCTTGGCTTCGGTTCACCATTTTAAATGCACTGGGATTCTTGACTTACAGCTTGTTAACATCTCAGACTACAAAACAGCCCTGGCTGTGTTTACATTGATAGTTACCCCTAATACTGTCAAGCCTTAGCCTCAGTTATATGATCTAGTAATTGTTGTCTAGCTTGATTAATTCCAAACACCTACTTAGTGCCTTGTGTCAAGTGACACGCTAGGTTCTCCAGAGAAGATCTAACTGCTGTTATGCTGCTTGGCCACACTTTTTCACATGTATTCAGCAATTGAGTAAGTAAGAAAAGTAGCTGATCATCCCAAGGAGAGGAGAGAAAAGTCTTGTTTACTGGAGACAGACACACTACTTTAGTATCTTACTCTGTATTCCCTTCTGTACAGCACAGTTAGGTGTATGTTTGTAGGTTTTGTGGGAAAACTTTATTCCTCTCCTTCAGTGTATATAATATATAGTTTGAGTAAAAACAGAATTTACTTTATCTTTAGATAAAGTAAGCAAATAAAGCAGATTAATATTCTGCAAAGCTTGACAGCAGGTACCTGATGTTATTGTAATACATTTTGTTCTCTTGATATAGTTCATAGTCAACAGGTGATGGAGAAGTGCTTCTGCTTGGAGAATTTTTCCATCATGCCCTTCTTTGCTCAAAGAGAAAATAGCTTCATTAACTGTAGCTTGGTGGCTTCTCACTTGGCAGGACAAACTAAGGGTTGAAGCAGAGGAATAGTTGATGGCTTCTCTTTTCTCCACTTTACTTCTCCACTCCCACAGATAGTAAGTGGTCACAGAGGTAGGTCCAGTTCTCATGGCCTGAACCTGGTATTACCTGCTGGATTTGGGCTTTTAAAAGAAACAGTATAAAAATATTTTTCTTGGGAATGTTACTCACTGAAACACACAGAGCACTTGTTCTCTCCCTGATGAGGGCCTTGAAGATGAAGTTTATTAACCTCATGATTATTCTCTCTCTGGGGCCAGGCAGTCACCTGACAAAGGAACATTCAGATGACTTTTGTCCTTTTCTTTGTTCTGTCACCGTGATGTCCTGCCTGGACTGAGGGCAGAGACACTCTCCCTGGAAATTCTCAACCCTATGAGATGTCTTCCCTAAACCCTGAGCCCCAGGTCTTTAGGTCATCTCTTGGACAACATGGGACTTCCTAGCTCCATATGTATCAAGAGTTTCAAACCTTGGTAGGAAAAGGATATCATAATCCTCACTGTTAGAACTTTACCAACCATGTTTCCCTGAAAATAAGACCTGCCTGGAAAATAAGCCCTAGCTGGTTGTTACCATGGTGATGGCCAGTGTCATACAGAAGACTCAACCTCACTGTCACCTTGCTTGATGGCTACTCTATAGTGGCAGTGAGGCAAGGATAGGCTGATGGGGGCTGGCATTGTTGATCTCTAGTTTTCAAGCCTGTTAGGTCTTATTTTTGGTAGCAACAAATCATCTTAATCTGAGTTCCTTCCTTATTCCTAATTCTCCTGGAACCGCTAAGCATTACTAAGAAAGGTAAAAACTATGAATGTTAGCTCACTGGTTATTGTATAACTGTGTGTGACTCACAGGGAAGTAGGCCAGAAAATCCCCTGTTAATGGGAGTTGCCGAGAATGGCAGAAGACCTGGCCTGGTTGCTGATTCAACCTGTACTCTCCAGTGTGGAAGGACACAAGTAGCAGTACAGGGGGCCGGGCCACCACAGCTGCATCCCCACAAGAGGAGTGAGGCGAGGCCGGCACCATCCATGGTGCAGATGTTTCCAGGGGACAGAGTGGGCCCAGAGATCCTTGAGTAGCATATGTGTAGGGTCATGCTTGCCCCACTTCCTTGATTTTCTGCCTGCTAAGATGTGGCAAGTGTACAAGGCTATCTGCACAGTCGGGAGGAGGAGGCTTCCTTATCAGTATGGTCCCCGCTCCCACAGGCTTGCTCTCACTAATCTGTTTCTCCAGGCAGCATCTCTCAGCTGCTTGCATTTGATAGCTTATTTTGCATCTGGATTTATTGCTGCCTACAGCTGTATTTTGAGGCAGATGAAAGATTGTTTAGGTGAGTATCACTTCAATGTGATGTCACCTTAAATCACTTTTCATGCTGTTTTAGTGCTGAGCCAATGTGTCACAAATACCTTCGATTTGCATATGTGTGGTATGGACTGTGGCACTGAAGAGCTGGTTGCCACCAGTCAGCAATACAGACCAGATGCATATGCTGGTTTACTGAGTTGACATGCGTAGTAACTTCCATAATAAGAAGGCAAGATGGCTAAACGTTTACTTTTTTCCACCAGAAAAGAAACAGAGTGAGATGGATACCTTGAGTGTGGAGTCAGCTGCTAGAACTGGGTGTTTCCACCCAGATAGGAGTCATTCTTGTAGACATCTGTGGGTCTATCTGTGAAGTCCTGTCTTCTGGAAGCAAGAACAGCCTTTTTATCTGGTGGAAACAGTATTGCATTAGAATGAAGTGTTCTGTATTTTTTGTTTTGCATCATACAACCAACATATTATACAGGCATTAGAAAAACTAAGTAACTACATTGTAATAATCTGGAGAATGTGTGAATACTTGCCACCATGGGTACAGATGTCTGACATCAAAACTGCTCCAAGGAATTTTAGCTGATTTTAGATACTAGCTGTTGTGAAATTGTGCTGCTTGCTACCCCTAGGTAGTCGTTTGAATAAAGAATATAGCTTGGGCTGGGGATTTAGGTCATAAGCACCTGCCTGGCAAACGCAAGGTTGTGAGTTCAATCCCTGGTACCAAAAAAAAAAAAAAAAAAAAAGAAAGAAAGAAAGAAAAAAGAATATAGCTTGTGCTTTCTGTTTTTTCTCTTTCTAGATGTATTGCTGTCCTTGAACATCATCTCATTTGAAAATTGCAGGAGAGCTCAGCCATCAGTATGTCCAAGTACAGACTTATTATACTAAGACATGGAGAGGGTGCTTGGAATAAGGAGAACCGATTTTGTAGCTGGGTGGATCAAAAACTTAACAGCGAAGGATTGGAGGAAGCTCGGAATTGTGGGAAGCAGCTCAAAGCACTAAACTTTGAGTTTGATCTTGTGTTTACATCCATCCTTAATCGGTCCATCCACACAGCCTGGCTGATTCTGGAAGAGTTGGGGCAGGAATGGGTTCCAGTGGAAAGCTCTTGGCGTCTAAATGAGCGTCACTATGGGGCCTTGATTGGGCTCAACAGGGAGAAAATGGCTTTGAATCATGGTGAAGAACAAGTGAGGCTGTGGAGAAGAAGCTACAATGTGACCCCACCTCCTATCGAGGAGTCGCATCCCTATTACCATGAAATCTACAGTGACCGGAGGTATAAAGTGTGCGATGTTCCCTTGGATCGGCTGCCACGATCTGAAAGCCTAAAGGATGTTCTGGAGAGACTTCTTCCCTATTGGAATGAAAGGATTGCTCCTGAAGTACTGAAAGGCAAAACCATTCTGATATCTGCTCATGGGAACAGCAGTAGAGCTCTCCTGAAACATCTGGAAGGTACCAACTTTATGTACTGCTCATTAGAGGTTGTGTAGTGTTACATTTGGGCCTTAATCTAGCAATTAAGCTAATGATGCACCGTTTACATAGCAGACTTTCCTTCTGTCTGTCTCTTTGTCACTTAAGAAGCAAGTTGTTCTATAAATAAAAACTCCAATGCCTTTGACATTCAGAATATCTGAAGCAGAGGTTTCCAGGCTTGAATGAGCCTCAGAGTCATCTGAGAGCTACATATGACACAGATTTGGGTGTCAAACACAGATTTTCCTTGCAGTTTCTAAATACTGGGTTTGGAGTGGAGCCTGAGAATTTGCATTTCAGCTGATACTGTGGGTTGGAATTCTGAACTCTGAGAAACATTGGTCTAAAAGGAGTATGCATTTTGTTATAATAAGATGAAAGTAGGCTAGGAAGGGAATACACTGTAAAAGTGATGTTGGAAGTAAATTTCTTTGAGTTTTCAAGTTAAGTAAACCGGTTTTCAGTTTTTGCCCACTTTCTTCGAGATTTACATAATTAGGGCTGTGTTTTCTGACCTAAGATTCCTGAACAATTCTTTTGTTCCAGTCCTCCTTTTCCACACTGCTCATTTAATTGTTGCTGTTGTTTTTAAGGGAAATAGCAAGAAGGTTTATCCAATGGTGAAAGACACTGAGTAGGAGAAAGTTCTAAGGAGGAGAAAAATAAAACAATAATTTATTTATCTTGACTGAAAGTTTGAAGATAAAAGCCTTAAACTACTCAAAGTTATGTTTTTAATGTACTATTTTGTTACCTTCTGCCTCAGTAGCATGAACTCTTTCAAGGATTCCGGTTCACCTGTGATCGATTGCCTCTGGTACCTTCAGGGACTTTGTCCTCTCCTGTCCCCTCACTGGTCCCAGATATTGTGCTTTTTCAGTGATCTGCTCTGTGTTTTGCGGTCTACATCATTGCTGACAGTCAACCACTTGGTATTAGAACATATTTCTCTATCATTCCTTTCTACTCAGCTTTATTTTTCTGTAAAAGGCTATGAAAATGAAAAGGTCGATATTGTATGTGAACTAAGTGGAAATAGGTTATTGGTAACAAAACGAAATGATCTCTCTGAGATTTTAATGTAAACTTTCTAGCTTGTGATTATTTTCCCCCAATTTTTATAATATGACCAAGAGCTGAATTATTACTGAAACATCTGCCATCCCTAAATCATGCTGTAATCTAAAATCTACAGACTTTATTAGGTATTACAAACTTGATTTGCCAGATAAGGCGCTTGATCCATATATTTTATTTATTTGGCTATATAAAGGTTTCTGTTCTTCCTTGTTCAGAATAATCAGATATTTGATAAACGATATATAACCTCATCATAAATGGACTTTATTGTTTGACAGGGAGTTGAGGCTCCTATTAGGACAACAAACTAAAATTCAGAATTTCAGAGTTTCTGCCTGAAGATGTATTCTGTCCAACCACATATATTTCTAGAAATGGGACTTAGATTCCCTGGTGGCAAGCCTCCCTCCTCACAGAAGGTGCCACTACCTTCTTCAGGATCCTCTTTTTTTCCTCCTCTTCCTTTCCTCTTCTCCTTTGAAAAGAAGAGAAAGAGAGGGAGAGAGGGAGGGAGAGAAAGAGAGGGAGAGAGGGAGGGAGACCGGGCTACCTCTCCTATGCTTTTCACCTGTCTTCAAGTTTAACTATAAGAGTACTCTGTAGCCCAACCACAGTTTATTCTAGATGTCCCTTCTTGCCAGTGCATTACTAATTAATTGTTTCTGTTGTGTTTAAGGTAAATAGCAAGAAGGTTTAACCAATGGTGAAAGACACTATCATGAGGAGGGGGCAGATTACCTCAAGAGGGCAAGGTTAGGCAGAAATAAAAACTTGATTTTCTAATAAGGAAAAGTTTTAAACCATTAATAGCTCATTGAAAAATAATTTAATCACGTAGTATGCCTGCTTTGGAAAATAATGCAACAGTTCCTTAAAAGAGTTAAAGAGGTACCCTAAGATGGAACAATTGCACTCCTAGTGTATACCTTAATAGTTTCCTAGGAGGAACTTAAGAAAGTGTCCAAAACTGGTTGACTTCAAACAACAGAAGTTTAGTTTGTGAGCTGGAAGTCCTGAGTTGGCATATTGTACTGTACCTCTTGTGGTTTTAAGAGACTGTCCTTTCTTGCCTTTGTCTAATCTTTGGGGACAGTCAGCTGTCTTTGGTGTGCCTTGGTTTGTAGGAGCATCATTAAGGTCCTCCTGCTTCAGAGGGCATATTGGTGTTGCTTGTTCAAATTTTTCTTTCTTTCTTTCTTTCTTTTTTGTAAGAACATGATAGTACTGCATTAAAGCCTATCCAGTGACCTCATTTTAATTTTGATTATTTCTGTTAAACACCCGTTTCCAAATAAGGTCAGGTTTAGTGATCTGGAGATGGGACCTTCAATGTATCTTCTTTGAAGGACACAGTTCAATTTGCAACAGTATCCAACATAAAAGAATATTTCCACACAAGAACTCTCATACAAACTTACATAACAGCCTATTCGTAATAGCCATAAAGTAGGTCAATTCAAATATCAGTCAATTAATTGAAAGCATTATAGTGACATAGTGAAATATGATTCATCAGTAAAAGGAATAAAGTATGGTAGGGATACATGCTAGAGCAGAGATGAACCTTGAAATCATCTTGTGTGAAAGAAGCCAGTCAGAAAGAATCACCTAGGTTTCCACTATATGAAATACCCAGGATAGACAAATCTATGGAGGCAGAAAGGAAAGCACAGTACTTGTTGCCTAGAAGTAAAAAGTGGGAGTGAAGTACGGTTAGATTGAAAGTGTGGCTACATGGGTAGAGGTTTTTGAGGGGTAATGAAAATGTAAAATTACGATAATTGCACGGCACTGTGAATGTACTAAACGCCATTTAAATGTGTACTTTAGGTAAAATACTGTGAATTATATTTCATTAAAGGCATAAAAATAATCTATGAGATTGAAAGGTGAAAGGATTTGTCATAGTTTGATCTAGGAAACAATAGATGAGATCACACATGAGGAGATAAAAGGCAGAGGCACATAGATGTGACTTTCAGAATAAGGAGAATAAAAGCATTTTTTGAAAGACCTTTTTGTTTTTGATGATGGGGATAGGAGTCGAGGTCTGGGGCTGGAGGGTGTAGCTCGGGGAGCGCTTGCCTGGCACTTGTGAGGCCCTTGGTTAGATGCCCAGCACTAAGGGAGAAAGCAGCCTGATGATTAATACTGTGCCTGCTCATTTCTCAGAGAGCCAGTGAGTTCACTGCTGTCCCAGTGAGTTAGAGGGAGGGCTAGCAGTGTTTTTAGTTTGAGGGTAATTGATTTAAAACAGTGGAGTTGGCATGGCAAGTGGTAAATTCAAGGAAAAGACTTACTTTGGAAGTATATGAATATGGAAAAAGATAAAGGCCAGATGAGGTCTGCAGGAGAAAGGACATGTGTTTGAATGGGATGGAGAATGGAGATGGTAGAGCTGGTGATTCTTAGGCTGCATCATTCCATGCAGGTTAAAGAAGGCCCACTGCAGACTGGTTCAGGCAGATGTCTCACAAAGCACCATGAAGACTCTTAACATCAGCTTTGTGTAATAAAACATCCCTTTCTGTGGTGTTCCAGACAGGCGTGTGTTTGGCATAGTCACTGTGGTTGGCACAGTCACTTCCTGTTGGTTTCCTTCTAGTGCACATCAAAGGAAAAGCCAGGTACCAAACTGAGCATTGGCTACAGTCTGCCAGAGGAAGTGAATTGTTTAGTCTGGGTTCAAATGCAGGATTGGGCAGCTTCAAGTTCAGATAAGAGTGGTAGGCAAGATGCTCAGATAAGACAGACTTGGTATCTGCAGATTGTGTGCAACTGTATACAAGCAGGAAAATGGTGAGACTGAATTAGAGACGGAGGAGGAAAGGTCAGCTGGGACTAGCTGTGGGAACTGGACTGGCTTTAGTCACCTTTGGCATTTAACATGATATTTTCAGAAGCAACGAAGTCAAACCTCCCATCTATGAGGCAGTTTTTTAGCAGTATAGTTAAACTTTCTTTTGTTTTAATTAAGTATATTAGATTTAAAGAAAGATGTTTATTTATAAACATTTTAATTAACATGTAAAATAGATTCTTTGCCTTATTCTAAGTAAGCTGTTTTTCTATCATTGTGTTACAATATTCAAATAACCCATTTTCATTTGTTCCACATAGCCCATCTTTGAGTTTTCAGTTAGCATTCAAATTTTAGAGTTCAAAATAGGTAGGTCATCTGTGAAATTCAGTCTCTTCTTTCAGCCCTTATTGGTAATAGGAGATACTCTGATCTCAAATTGTGCATCAGTAGAATTTTAACAGTGATTTAGTTGGTTAGAAAGTCAAGTGAGGAGTAGGTGGAGCCTCATAGCCAGAGGAGTTGGCTGGAGTTGTTGCTTTATTTTTCAAATCTTTTAAGTATTCACATCTCAGAATTGGGGTTTCTTTCTGTCATATGGCAAGTCCCTGTGTCTCCCTTGTCGGTGTCACTCCCGGCCGGCAGGAAGGACACACAACAAAGTCTGGCAGTGGACAACCTTTTCTTTTATTTTCCTTCTCCGTACAGCCTGCCCCGGGAATCCTCCCGGCCGAAGCCTCTGTTGGTCCGCTCCCCGCGGCTCCTTGCGTGCTTCTCCCTACAGTCTGTCCCGAAGCCTCTACCGGTCCGCTCTCCGCGGCTCCTTGCGTGCTTCTTCTGCTTCTTTTGCTTCTTCTTCTTTTCTTGGCGGGAGAGGCACTCACTTTTATAGGGTTACAGTGGCCAATCAGTTCAAAGCGCGTGATGCGGGCTGATTGGCTAACATCAGTTGTTGCTAGGCAGACTATCTTACAGGGCGGGTTGTGAAGCAGGAGATCTTACAGGGCGGGTTGTTTACCAAGCAGGAAGCAGGAGATCTTACAGGGCGGGTTGTTTACCAAGCAGGAAGCAGGAGATCTTACAGGGCGGGTTGTTT